AAATTCAGTGCTCAGTTTCTCGTGATGATTGCTGTGTTGTAAATTATTAGATAAAAAAAGCTACTGTCACTGCCTTTTGTAGCAGTTCTGTAAATCTATGAAACAGTTCTATTGTGTTCAAATAAATAGTGTTCCAATACAAGCTGAATGACAACTTTGCTCAGGCAAAACACACTTTCCTTTGGTTTCTTTGGTCCCTAATTTAAACAAATCAAATTTTCACGTAGCACTAGTAAAAGATAGCAAAGTACTGCCTTCTCAGTTTTAGACAAGTGAAAGAGTAGTGATAAGAAAGAGTAGTGATAAGAAGAATTACTAGCAGGACAATGTTAGTAGCAGCCACATCTGTCTAGGACCCTTTCTCTTGAAAGTAGACATATCCCACTAAAAAGCATATCTGCTCCTGTGACACATCTTTATTAGTTACTATCCCACTATTTTTCCCTGAGTTGTTGTACTATCAAAGATCAAAGTAAACCATTAAACAATTCACTGCTAATTCAAAAAGTGAAAGTATTTCAACATAATGGCAATGGCATTGGCCACTTCGACAAGCACCATTAAGTGTTATAGAAATTATGAATTATGTTTACAGAAAGTTGTATCTTAGTAAGAATGACAGAATCTTAGGGGTTGGAAGTGACCTCAAAAGATCATCTAGTCCAACCCCTCTGCCAGAGCAGGGTCACCTAGAGCACATCACACAGGAACTTGTCCAGGTAGGTTTTGAATGTCTCCAGTGAAGGAGACTACACAACCTCTCTGGGCAGTCTGTTCCAGTGCTCTGTCACTCTCACAGTAAAAAAGTTCTTCCTGATATTCACACAGAACACACTATGCTCCAGTTTGCATCTGTTGCCCTTGTCCTATCACCGGACATCACTGAAAAAAGCCTGGCTCCACCTCCCTGACACTCACCCTTTACATATTTGTAAACATTTATGAGGTTGCCCCTCAGTCTCCTCTTCTCCAAGTTAAAGAGACCCAGCTCTCTCAGCCTTTCCTCATCAGGGAGATGTTCCACTCCCTTCATCATCTTTGTGGCTCTGTGCTGGACTCCTTCCAGCAGTTCCCTGTCCTTCTGGAACTGAGGGGCCCAGAACTGGACACAATATTCCAGATGTGGCCTCACCAAGGCAGAATAGAGAGGGAGGAGAACCTCTCTTGACCTACTAACCACACCCTTTCTAATGCACCCCAGGATGCCATTGGCCTTCTTAGCCACAAGGGCACATTGCTGGCTCATGGCCATCCTCTTGTCCACCAAGACCCCCAGGTGCCTTTCTCCTACACTGTTCTCCAGCAGGTCAGCCCCCAACCTGTACTGGTACCTGGGGTTGTTCTTCCCCAAATGCAAGACTCTACACTTGCCCTTATTGAATTTCATCAAGTTTCTCCCTGCCCAACTCTCCAGCCTGTCCTGCTGTTGAATGGCAGCACAGACTTCTGGTGTGTCAGCCACACCTGCCAGTTTTGTGTCATCAGCAAACTTGCTGAGGGCACACTCTTTTCCCTCATTCATGTCGTTGATGAAAATATTGAACAACACCAGTCCCAGTACCGACCCCTG